GTTTGACTGAATTACAAAGGTCTAAGAATTTGTTGAGAAAATTAGTTCAATATGACAGGCATCTGAAAGAGCTGCTCTTTTGTTACACATATTATAGGACTGGATTATTAGCCGAAAAATGGTATCAATAAAAATGCAGTAGGGGATTTGTGTGAGATAGTAGTTTTTTCCTGCGAGCTGTGGAAACAGAAGTGTGAATAAACTGCATAGAAAGGTGTGTTGAATGCGGTCTGGTAATCAAATGTTCTGTTATATCTGACACTTATCTTGTGAGTAGAGCTGAAAGTCAAGTGCCTGCAATCAGCACAGAAGTGTAGATGCATATTTCCATTATAAATTATGTAGTCTAATTGTGTTTGGTTGGCTTTTGTTGTGGTATTTTAAAATATATTAGGCCACTTTGTAGCAAGCAGAAGTATTTTGTGATGCTTTTATAATGGTAGATGTTCTTTAAGTTGTGAGAGTGCAGATGTGGCTCTGATGGGGCCTGATGGTCCAGGCAAACCCTTGTCAACCTTTTCACTCAAGCTTGTTGTTTCATAAGGGGTTGTGGTGATTTGGAAAATCTTGTTTACACTGTATTGGAAAAGTAATAACTTATTTGCAGCAGAAACTTTATCAGAGTTTTAGAACAAATATTATGCACTTTCTCATCCATGAAATCAGTCATATTAGGTGAGATGCAGTAGATACCTTGTGAGGAACCTGATACTGTCTTCAGATGAAGTTTACAGGCAATAAGAAATGCATGGAAGTATTTAACAGTGACTTTAAAGTTCTTTTAATAAAGCCTATAATATCAGTAAAATATGGAGAAAGACAGGAATAAACTAGGGAAATTGTCTCTCTTAAAATGTTCTAAAATACACACACGCTGTATGTATGAATACATGAATCTAAATATAAAGAATTTAAGAATCAGTGGTTTAGATCATGCTGTTTTACATTTAAAATGTCATATAGCAATATTCATAGATGTTATAAATCCAAAGGAGTTTTTTTAGTCCAGGAGGGGGGAGAAGGATTGGAAGGGAAAGCAATGATTTAATTAGTAGCTTTACTGTTCAGCTCTCTCACAGGCATTCTACATCTGCTTGTAGTCAAAGAAGCCACAAAGATGAATGGATAATTCATTCATTATATGACGCCAGGAGGGAGTTACCTTATTCAGATAATCTGACCTATAGTGTCAGTTTGATAAAAAATTAAGTGATGATCCTTAGATTTCTTTGTGTGCATGTGTTTGTTACTGCAGCATCATTAACACTTAGGGACAAAGAACATGAAAGAAATAATCCTGTAAAGTATTGAAAATTCCATGGGTGCTGAAGGAGTTTGGTGCTTTGTGGTGGCATATCTGCTGTTTTACAAAAGAAAGATTGAATATGTGCTGGTGACTTAACACCGATGATTCCAGTAAGTCCTGGCATCTCTTGGAAAAATACCATGAGATATACCAGGCAAGGTATGCTTGCAGTATATTGAGGTTATTAGATCTAGCCTTCTGATGGAAGAATGGGAAAACTGTAGGAGAGACTTCTCTGAAAGTTGTGGGTACTCATTCATTTAAATTCAGGCTCCAGAAAGTTATAATTACTCTGCTTTGAAAATCTGTTTTGTAGCTGTTGCATATGCTCTGTTATCAAACTCCAAACTCATTACTGTGTTTTGATGAGTGGCATTTGGAACAGAAAAAAAGTCTGCCTTCAAAATGGTTTTGCTCAGTCATTCTGCAGTAAGGTGAGCACTTAGTCATCCAGATAATACTGTATAATGATAAAGAGAAGTTTCATAGAGGCCACTGGCTGTAGAATATTGAATACAAAGGAGTTACCTAGAAAGAGAGAGACCAAAAGCTCCTTTGTGACCTCTCTGGCACTCCGCACAGCCAGGTAAAACAGACTTGTAAAAGGCAACAGGGACACACCAAAGAGTGAAAATCTTGAGGGCTGTGGCTGTACATATGGGGAGCTCAACAGCAAACCACAGTTCTAGCTGCTCGGCTATCTTTTTTTGTTCTAGGTTGGTAGGCAGATTTTTATTGGTAATGTTGCCTGCAATGTTGTGAATGGTTCACTGGCACACTCTGAAGGTAAAAAAGCAATAGCTAAACAACTTAAAATTCTTGTAGTGTCACCTTTCAGTTTTGAAAGTCTTTCGATTTGAAAGGTCTAGCTTCAGAAAAATTTTAATGTATCCTGTTAAATGTGAAATATCTAGAAATAAGATGTGGATTTTTTATAAATGATTCTTTTATGTCCTTGATACGAAGTGCTGCTTAGTAATGAAAGATGTGTCAGAACTTGTCTCGGTGTGAAAGAATTTCTCTGCATAGTTTACAAGCATTTATTCATACCTGAACTGCTTCTGATATCCAAATAAATGAAACAGCATTTCTCTTTGGCTGAATTTCTCCCCCTGCCTTTTTTTTTTCTTTTGCTTCCTTGTTTATTTGTATTGTTTTGGTTGGTTGGTTTGTTTTGTTTACAGTAATTATTATACTGAAGTGTATTTTTTCCCCAAATTAGTCTGATATGAGCTTCTAATCTAAACTAAGAAATACAGACTCCTTTATCATAAGGTGAGGTTGTGTCATTGCTTAACCTTGAAAATGAAGCAGTTCTCCCCAGCTGACAAAATGATGATTTCACACCTGTTTCTAACTGTGAGTCATCCTTAGGCATTGCACCTTAAAGTCAAAAACCTATTGGGCTTATACAGGATTTTAGATTCTGTTTTTAGGAATCCAGCAGTTGCTTGTTTTTTCAGTCTCCAGGGCTGGCTTTTCAGGTAGGAAGGTTAAAGAATGCAGTAGCAAAACATGCATTTTTATCTGAAATATTTATACATTACTGTTCTCCTGGTAGTTAGTATGAATGCATACAAAACATTGTGAAACAAAATAGGGGTTTTTATGCAGCACAAAAGATTGTTACTTGATTGTAAGGATCTGTTCATAATACTATTCTCAATCTTTGACCAATGCAGCTATCTAAACTCCCCAAATGCTTGTAAGAGTTCTAAGATTGTGCATAAACTCTTACTTTTAATAATTCAAACAATAGCAAAAATTTGATACATCATTGAAATACCTTTCCCACTTGTGGGACTTAAGAAAAAGGAGAGGTTAGTTTGGGCTAGAGGATGCTCTGTGCTATTTCTGATGTTCTGCCCTACTCTTGATAGTTTTGGTGTCTCAGCTGCAGTAAGTGGGCTACATTGTTTATCCAGAAGTTCTAGACTGAAGTTTGGGCATATTTGGGCATTGTGGACATGTTGGTACTGTCTGTTTTGGATGTGGCCTTTGGATAGTGTTCTACCTTTTTTGAAGTCACCCATGAAATTAAAATTTGGGAACAACAGAGCAGTGTAAGTAAAAGAAGAAATAGATGTCATGTTGTAAAGCAGTTGAGCTGGGAATCTGAGTATATGGTATTCTGCCGCTAGATTGCTGTCAACAGCAGTGGAGTTTTGCATTGATGACAGCAGAGACAGTGAATTACACCTTCTTTTAGTTGCATCAGTTGGGAGTGCAAGTGAAAAGGGCATACCTGGTGCTGATGTACCAGCAATCTTGCAGAGAATCTGATTGTTTAAACTTGTCCCTTCAGTTTGAAATGGGCTGTGGTAGATACTTACTTATCTCCCAATTAATTTGGAAAACTGAATTAATCTATATAGTAAGATTTGAGGCAGTCAAATGTAAAGCACTACAGCAATGCAAGTATTGCATTACTAATGTTGCCTTTAGAGGGGGGCAGTGGCATGACTTGTCTCCTTGCCTTGTAGAAGAATGGAGAAGGAGGTACTGAGGAGTAGGTCATGGTGACAGATTCTTGGGTGTAACTGAGCTGTGTCCAGCCATGTGCTTCTCGTAAGATAATAGTGGCAGCGGGTGAGATACTGTGCTTCACTAAGGCAGAGTGGTGGCCACGAGGAAGTGTGAGGGGAAATAGTAAGGGTTGTGTTGCCCATAAACTCCAGATAGTTGTGTCTATAATGTGAATCTCCTGCCTTCAGTTTTAACAATGACAAAAGGCCATATAGTGTTTTTCCAGCCTGGTGAATGATGATGATGCATGTAAGTAACCTTGCATGTTAAGGTATCAAAGTGAACACTTTGCAGTGTTACCAGAATAATGTCTCATGTTCACTATCTTCTACAAGAGAATAAGAGGGGAGAGAAGCCCCAAAATCTGACTCATTTCTACTCACTGGAAGTGTCTTTACTTGAACTTATATTTTTGAGGTGCAAGACTTGCTCTGTGTGTACTTTCACGTTTAATGGTTACTTAGTGTCTAAAAATTTACAGAACTTCAATGACATTTTCTTAACTCATAAAACTGTAAATTAAGGCATCATCAGAAAGCAGTACTACAGTCAGAAGGTGCTTTTATCCATTAGATTGTGATGTACTGGTCTGGTAGTTCTCCTTCTGGTTTTCATTGGATTTTTATCCTCCCCCCATGAATTTTTATTTTGTTCTCACTGTCCACTGACCAGCAGTATTTTCTTAGAACAGAAATTTCTGCTGACATGTCAACTTCAGACTCTGTTATAAAGATAAAATTTGATGTCACTGCTGCAGGTTCACAGCAAGGTCTTGTTTAAGGCAGATAGTGACACTTGCTTAAGACAAGACTCAGATAGTAAACAGATTAGCTAACTGTGTTGCGCAGCTCTAATTATAATATTATCTGCAAAATCAAACTCTTCAGAGTTATAACTATATGACAAAGCACATTTGATACCTTTACTGCTGATCCAAGGTGGCCCCAGAGGTGCTGAGTGACATGAGTAAAGGGTTGTGAATATAGCTTTGAACACAGTTATGCACAGTTTCTTCTTGCATAACAGTGCCTTTTAGACTGTTCTTGTTTTTCAGATTTTTCTGCATTGGAATTATTGCATTGGAATATTTGAAAATTGCTGGTTATGTAAGGATGAATACAAAACTCCATTTTTATTTATGACTTTTTTTTTTTTTTTCCCTAAACAGGAATGAACATCTGCACAGATGCTCTCAATGCAAGGTTGCTAAATACTGTGGTAAATCTTGTCAGGTAAGATGAAAAATAACAACTATGAAGGTTTTAAAAAAGCAGGCATTTGAACACTTTATTTACAGGGTCTCCATGCATTTTACATGTTGTCATACCTCCACACTGCAATTTGTTATTTGTAGTTTTGGAGAGGGTGTGTAAACATGCCACCTTTTTTGATTTGAATACTTTTATAGTTACAAATATAAGATTAAAATCAATGCAATAGACAAAAGTTTAAATATATGGTGGTTGACCTTATTATGTTGGGGATGCAGCACTCCAGGTGGGGTCTCACAAGAGCCCTCCCTTAACCTTTTGGTCACACTGCTTTTGATGCAACTCAGGATACAGTTGGCTTTTGGGGCTGCAATTACACATTGCTGGGTCATGTTGAGCATCTTGTCAAACAACATCCCCAAGCCTTTCTCCTCAGGGCTGATCTTTTCAGGTATCGTGCTTCTATAAACAATTCTGCCTTAGTATAATCTATAGTATTCTCAACATACCAGAAACCCCTTCTTTTGGGGATTAAAATATATGGAGAGGGAGAGGAGGAAGATATGTCATTTTGATTCATCATATGGCTCATATGTGCAATGTACATTAGGTGCTTACTGTAGCATCAATAATAATGCCACAGGTAGATTTATAATGGGAGATCATAAGAAAAATATGGCTGTAAAGACTGTAAAAGACCAGAGTATTTTCAAGGTATGTTTAAAACAAATGTCTTCCAGGAGAGTCATTGGTAAAGCTTCTGTTGGCAGCTCTCTAATGTGAAATGAGCCTGTGCTGGCACTGACCTGCACAAGCAAATCTGCAAGGTGTAATACAGGAACATGTTCCAACTTAGGTGCAGAGGCAATGAATGTAGGAAATGGGGCTTGCTCCTTGGAGAACACAACTATGTGAATGTGCTTCAAGGATTCATAAGGGATAGACTGAAGGCATCCTGGGTGTCTTTGCTTTATGCTTCCAGCTCTGGGGTTTGTGAGCTTGAAGCCATCCACAGCTGTAGGTATTAATTTCAGTGAGACAGGCTACTGGTGCTAAAAGGAATCTGCACTTGTAGTGCTGTGCATTTTTGATTACGTAATGTCTTGAACTGCCAATATAAATAAATATTTAATTAATGTTATATAATATCCTGTGATGTTAGGTAGCAATTGAGATAACAGAAAAGTTAGTTTTTAGTCAAAACTGAATTTAATGGGATTGATGACTCAGGATACATGATCCAGATAAAACGGAGACCAGCCAGATCTCTTTCTCTTGAGAACTGTCCTCTAATTTCTATTTATTTTGATAAGGTAGCTAAACTATTATGCAGCTCTGGTTTTATAGCAGGTGTTAGCAAAGCTAAACCAAATGTTTTGTGCCCTACTTAACCTCTGTAGCTTTAGTGCAATTCATTAATATGTGCACTTCTAATTGAAGTAATTGGTCAAAAAATAAACAGCAGGGTATGGAGTGAAACTGCAGTTTGCGTATTTATAAAAGTGAATACTGGCAGAACAGGACTATTTTAGTTTTATAAATACAGATAATTTTGAAATGCAAATTATGCAGTTGGATTTGCAGTTTACACTTAGTTGAAGAATGATTTTTTTTTTGGTGTGTGTTAAATAAATAGTGAAACTCAAGAAACTTAGGCTTAAAATCTGCTAGTTTTGTGGTTAATACAATAAATGAAATCAGAATTAATATAAAAATCTGACTTTAAAAAAAAGGTTAATAGCTGACCTAGGTTTAGGATAAATGTAGACTTTGTGAAGGAAACTTCAAAGTAAATGCAGCAGGGGATTTCTATGTTAGGATGAACCAAAAAGAGCCATTTTTAAACCTGCAAATATCTTGTAAACATCTTCATTTGTTTTAAAATGTCATGTGGTCCAAAAAGCTTTCTTCAGGCCAACCTTACAGAGAAGAAATAGTTTTGAAATGTTTCTCTTTCTGAGACTTTCTGTGAGAATAACTGTCCTTTAAGGGGATATGTATGCAGAGCCAGGAGTATGGAAAAAAAAAAAAAAAAGAAATCAGAATATCCAGTTTTGACAAATCTCCATAATGTTTGTTTTGAAAATTACAAATGAGTTGTTCCAAATTTCAAACATTACTATTATTTTTCAGGCCAGCTGAAGCAAGCTGATTTCACTTCTACTACTTTAATTAACTTTACAAAATATTAGAAAGGAGGAAATGGAACTTATTGGAAGAGATCCTTTAGGGTGACCTTTTTCAACTGACTTCTGATTACAGGATCAAGTATATGTGGAGTTTTTGCTTTTAATTTTTTGTTTTTCAGTCAAACTTCATTGACTTTTGCCCCTATTTGCCATTTCTGTGTTGTAGCCTCTTTCCCACTTGTTGATGCCTAATTTCATGGTGCTGTCTGCCTTCTAGTAGTGTTATGTTCATTGGGTGTCTCTTCAAATGTAGAGTTACCATGTTTGCTGCTCCTCATAATCCTCATAATGCTGTGACCTCCCTAGGCGATGTTTATTAATATGGTGCATCCCTTAGATTGGGGACCGGTGATATTGATGATAATCCCTGACAAATGGGAGGGTCATTTCAGGCAGAATTTGGAATGTGACATTATCCAACATTGTTAAAATTATGTAATAAGAGTGAAATGTCTCAATAATAATAATAAAAAAGACAGACATTCTGTAAAAATATAAACAATTAGGCACTGTTGGGAGACTGGGGTAGCATATGTCTGTGAAACAATGGATGCACACTGGCAAAATAGCTTAGCTAAAAATATGCAAGATGTTGCAGGCATATGCGAGTGGTCTTTTTGCTTGTGCCCTGAGCCAGCAGAAGGTGATCCTGTGCCTGGTTTGTCCAGTGAGGCATTAGAGTCTGTGTGGTGCTGGTTCAGTGGGCAGTCTCAAGCTGCCATCAGCAAACAGCTCTGTGCTGCGCTGTCTCCTAAGCCGTGTGGGTGCTGACCTTTTTCACCTTTTTCAGGGTAAAGCCTGAGGATTTACACTTGGGATACACTGAGCTTCAATGAGAGACAGTGCTTTGGGAGGAGATTAAAGGAGGGATGTTCTGTCTGAGTCACTGAGTGTAGTCAAGCTTGAAGGAGGAGGGCTGTCTACTCTCCTGCACTGTTCATTTGCCTTTCTTTGCTTCCTTATATTAGTGTTCATTTCTAACAGGGAAAAAAAAAAACTACTGCAAAATTGGAAGACCTTCCCTGGCATGGAGGAGAAGGGTCACACCAGGTGGCCTTATCTCTGCATTACAGTATTTACACTCATGCTGGATCTGGAATATAAAAACCTTGACTGAAAGCCAGGATACGCAGAATTGAGAAAACCCTCCCACAAAGAGCTGTGGGACTAACATAAACCCATCCAACAAGTACTGTTGGAGAGACTGACTCTTAAATTAAGTCCCTCCAGGGTCACAGATCTTCATGGTTTCATATTCTGTAATTTGTATCACTATTGTAGTGGTAGTGAGAAGAAATATTGTTGAAATTCATTATGCTTAATGCATTTGGAGCTTTCTCTTCTCTCCCTGACCAGTTGGGAAGAAGTGAATGGCAGTCCCCATTCCAGCTCCTTCTGCAGAGGAGGCAGACTAATTCCTTTTTGGCATTAGTTTTGGCCGAAGTGTTTTTTTGTGGAAGGCATGTTTGAACTGTTCTTATCACATGGGAATGCATCTCAAAGAAACATGGCATATGACGCTGTGTGGTACAGCATATTTCATCTCGTTAGGGCTTTATTGGCTGGGTAAGCTATTAATCATTTTGCTGTCACCTCTAGCATGTTTAAAATTCCGTTCAACATTTATGTAGAGGAAAAATTTTGACACATAGAGGCTTGCTCCATAGAACGTTTTTAGTTTAAGTGGGATAAAAATGCCAGTGTAATTATATTACACAGAATGATGTCTGGACATTTACAAGCATGACCTTGTTTCTTCTAGACAAGGATAATTCTATTCAGCACTAAATACTTAACTTTTATTTGTCAGACAGCATGTGACACTAACTGTATTTGGATTAATGCCTTCTTGGGTCACTTTTTCCCCTTGTAGAGTTATGGGTAAAGGAAAGGAAATCACAAATCTCATATGTATCTGAAAGAAATAAAAAGTCCAATTTATTTATTATGTGTAAACCACAGGGGGGAAAAAAAATCTGGAATGAAATAGAATAAATGCTACTGGTGAGAAAACCTAGTTACCTGAAACAATTCTCCCACTTATATGCAGCTTAAGAAGAAAATTGTGTGATTGCCTTTGGAGTCTTTATAACTAGGATGTCAGCATCCACAGATGTGATGTACCCTTGCACATACCTCTGCCATTTCCTTCTTTTTTTTTTCCTATTTTTTAATTGCTGAATGTGTAATTTCTTTATATTAGACTTTTTATCATTTTCTCCATGGCAGTTACCTGATGGAAGCTGTTTTTCTGAGTTCATTTTTTTCCCCCCTTACTGCATATCTGTGAAAAAATGACACCTTCAGAAGCCCTTGGTTCTTCTGAGTTCTTGTCATTGTAGCAAATTTTTGTTGTGCCCCGTTCTTTCAATTTGCTCTTAAAACTACTTAAAGCAGCTGTGTGGCTTCAAACATAAATTGTGAATATGCAAATAAATTGTGTAAGTATGTAGTATGTTAATGAGATGGTGTTTTTGTAAATTATAAACAGAATTTCTGGCACGTAAAGAGGGAAGGCAAGGAAAAAAGATGATCAGAAATTGCCTCTTCGAGGATGTTTCTTTAGCTGATGACTCATTCTTGTTGCTCTTCTACACTGATCTGGAGGAAACAATGAATGAGGGGAGAAAAAAGACATATTTCAATACATAGCAGCTTTCCTCTATCTTGTTTCTTCTCTGCTATGGAAATGTTAGTCTCTGTGTGCTACTTTAATTAAAGTGGCCCATGAAACAAAAACTGCAGGTTGGGGTAGCGTATGCAAATAAAATATTTTTGGTTCCATCTTCTGTTTTCATTTCAGTGCGTACTCCTGGTCTGAACTGTAAAAATATCGTCATCAGTCCTCCCAGTTGTGGGCATGAATGCCTCATTAGCTCAGGGATCTTTGGGAACAATTTTTTCTGCATTGAAAGTGCATAAAACTGCTGCTTTAAAACAGCTGCATTTAGTGAAGTGAATATTCTCACAAGTTTTTGCAGTCTTTATTGCTGAGGGAACACAGGCCTAGAGTACTGTGGATGTTGGTTAGCATCCTTTCTAGTTCTCTCCCATCTTGTGAAGTATGCAGCAGCATAGTGTTACTGCTTCTTGAGACAACAAAATGGGAGTCAGAGCCCACTTTTTTTTTTTGAATAACAATTTAAGCTAGCTGGAATGGTGATATCAATGCAAACTAAGCTGGTGATGCCATTTATAGCATGGTGCATAAAGGTAAAGAAAATTATTCGTGGTAGCAGGAACATGGGGCAAAAAAGGGAGGTGTTTCTTCTAGATGTCTGTGCAGTTTTCATACTATCTTTACTTGCTCCTTTTGTGCACTAGTGGCATCAGACACAATGTTTGTATATAGTACAAAGTTGTCAGACAGCAGTATGAAGCAGACTAAGTAAGGTTTGTATTGGCAAGGAAGTGGACAAGGAACTTCTGTTTGTTTTTTTATTAGATTTTCTTGAATTCAGAGGTAGCCTAATGATGATACTCTTGTTTCTTGAACCTGCACTGCTGTAGCTCCAGTGTCCACAGTATCAGTTACAGTGTTTGAGGAGGAAATGGCATGATGGGCTTGGTTAACCCAGAATGTTGTTTTCCACAAGAGTCATGTTTTGGCTACATTCTTGGACTGTGCTGCTGTTTATTTTGCAGTTGGCATCCAAGGTTGCTGTGTTGGAGACTGCCAGGGTCACTGTACATCAGTACCTGGGGAAGGTTCCCTTCATGGTCCTTTGGAGCTGACTTTCAGCTTTGAGCATTTTTGTGTGCATCTATAACTGTAAATAACTATATGAATAAAAATATATGTATATATATATATATAGGATACAATGTTATGTATAATAACATGCATTTTTAATTTTTTTGTTATCATTTTAAAAAAAATCCTAATAGAAAGAAGCTTGGCTGGACCACAAGCAGGAATGCAGATGTCTTAAGAGCATCAAGCCGAATTTTCCTCCAGACTCTGTCAGACTTGCTGGAAGAATTGTTTTTAAACTAGTAAGTGAATTCTTTTAGATCAATTTAGTGCAGCAGATTCAGATAAATACTTTCTCACTCTACATTTTTAATGTGATTAAGAACTAGAAGGCTGAAGTGACTGAGATTGCTGAAGAAAGTTGGACTACATATTGCTTTAGAAGATTACTGACTTGTTTGCAGAAATGCTGAAAGGATCAAGAGATACCAAAATGGACATAATTAAGCTCAAGGGAGCTGTTTATTGATTTTCTTTTCCTATGACTATGTGGTAGCATTCCAAACTTATTTCTACCTGTAAGGAAGGCATAGGGAGACTTTGTTTTTCCTTCAACACTAGTGGAGTTATTGGTGCTTTTCTATTAACTTCATAGGGAACCTCATTCAACTTTATTTGAATGAGTGGTAAGGACAGAAGCACTGTTAGCCCTTTCTTTAGAGGTCATAAGGCCATGCTTTCTGTCTTGGGTTCTCTTAATCTGAATGACTTTTTTTTTCTCCTAAAGTCTCTTCGAAGTCCTGGGTGTCTGACATTCCCACAGTTTGATTACTTTATGTGGACTAAATTTTCTGTTAGGTTAAGCGGCTTATGACTGTGTGGGATTGTAAATCAAAAGGGATTTGCTCATTTTTTTGCTAAGCCTTCCATGATGCTCTCTGTCTTGGATAAAAATGTGTGCATTTGTTGTGGTCTGAGGTGATAAAATATGATTGCACATCAGACATTGTTGGCAAGAGTTTGTGCATGATGGTTTTTAAAGGGCAAATATGTACCTAGTAATACTGTGCATTAATTATAGTCACATGAAATCTGAAACTGTAAACCTCATAAATTGCTTTCAATTATACTGTGAAGGGCCAGAGTAAATTACTAAAGGTCAGCTATCAAAGTGCTGAAAAAAATTAAAATTAGTAGAAGTTATAACAACAAAAAAATTATTTTTTTTTAGGATAGTTTATGCAAAGTACTGCATTTATGTTGATGCCGTTAACCTTACCTAATTATCTTATGGGTATATCACATGGAATAATCAATCTTTTAGAGTGTTTTCAAGATAAAGCATGGTATGTAAGTGTTGATTATCTGGTTTTCTCTACAGCTCAGACAATCAGTATGCCTTTCTGAGAAGCTCTACTCTGTTGCTGATCTTCAGTCAAGTAAGTAATTGCCAGCCACATTTCAGGAAATACTTCCAAGGTCTGCTTTACAGAATGGCCATGTGATTTTCTTGCAACTTGCCTTCTGAAGGTTTGCTCTGTAGAATAACAGAATCAAAGACAAAACTTGCAAAAACATCTGTGGGGAAGAACAGGTTTTTTCTAAGATCAAGGTAAAAACACGTGTGCCTTCTTCAAGCAAAACTTCCACCTTATTTTTTGCTTTAATATTTTTTTCTCGTTTTATAGTATACATCTTACCTGTTCAATTTTTAATTTAACTGGTGTGTGCCTTACTATATACTACATACAGTATTTTTACATACATACACAAAAATACATATATTTTTACATTGAGGTTTACTTTTTTAATACTTATGTACTATTGCATAAAGCTTCAAAAGAATTTACAGAAAAAGGAAAGAAATGTGAAATTTTCAATGGATTTTTCAATGGAGAAAAACAGATTCAATTTTTCTGGTATTACTTTTGTAGTTTCACAAGTTTCAACTGCTTGAGTAGAAAAGAATGCTCATTACAATCTCTCAGCAGAGCTGAAGTTGATATAGAAAATATTTTTTCCAGATTTTGTGGCGTCTTAAAGGTTAAAGACTTAGAAAGGAAGAAATACATCCTTGATTCATTCTTGCATCTGTTTGGAGGGATTTTCTGTAATGTGAATATTTTGATTACCTCAGTGTGTTTTTAGTATTTTCCAAAGTTTTGGCTATAAACCAGCTTGATCTATTGGTAAAGTTAGTTAGAAATAAAACCCACATAAACATAAAAATTGCAATACAGAGTGTTACATTTTACTTCTTTACCTCCTGATATTCTGCTGCCTTCTTCCAAACTACAAGGGCAAAAGACCTTGAGGCAGCAAATTAAAATGGATTAAATTTCAAATATTTCAGACATCATGGTTTTCTGCAGTGGTTAATCTCAAATCGTGTAACAAGGGTTTATGGAGAACAGATGCTTCAAATGAAGTTAAAGTGATGAAGACTTTTGGACTTTTATGCTTCATGGTACTGCTGGGGTCCAGGGAAAAAATCTTTACTGTACCAGTGTCTGCTTGCAGAGTGGCCCAGGAGGAGCTGGAGGGAAGAGTTTCCCTCTAAAAATTAAATATTCATCACTTGTATAGCAGTTGTCTCTAGCGTAGGCAAAGATCTTTGTGTAACTGATGACTGAGGTTTCACAGTAGCCTTCAGAAGATGATCTCCACTTTCCTTGATTTGACTGGAGACAAGGGAAATAGTGTGATAAATTGTCCAGAGAGAAATGGTACAAAAATCTAGAATGACTAGAAGCTTCTACTAAAATTCTCATTCTAAAGGAAATCCTGATATGGCCTGTGATACAGATGGAATGATTATCCTCTCACCCATAGAGAAATAACAGGTCCATAGCCAGTTAGTTTAGGAGGAGGCAGATGAGAGTGTTCCATCTGTATTTACTCTAGGAATTTTAATAACAATTCCTGTGTAATCTACTTAACTTCACAGGACAAAGTGTTCAGGACTCCTAGACATTAACTGAAGTTGAGACTTAACAGAGTACAGTACAAATGGCCTATGTATAAGCTTAGGTAAAGATTTTGGCTGGTTCTTTATTTCTGTTGTTTTCCTGGATTCTTTTTTAGAGTGAAAAGATGGTCTCTATGTTTTTACAGTTAAAATAGTCCAAAAGTGTTTTGGGCTGGTGTGACAACTTGTAGTAGCTGTGATGCTTTTTGCTGTCTCTGTATCCTTGAAAAGCTGCTGTTATTTCATAACACTTTTTCCATTTGCTGCACAATTGGTGGATGGTGTTGATAAAGACTTCTTTTAATTCCTTATGTAGTGGAATCTGTAGCCAAAAATGCATTTTCTTTAGAAGCCTAAGTATATAGGGGAAAAGATTTCTTTGAAAGGAATCACATGAACTAAAATACAGGCTGTAATCTTCTGAAGCAAAAAATTCTTAGGAAGAATCTTTGTAACAGAAGATAGTATTTCAACACTAATCAAAATGTAACAGAATTCTAATTGATACTCCTTTATTTTTCCTTTTCTCCCCCCCATCTCAACTGGAAGTCCAAAATATTTGCAAATTATTATTGTCACTGTGCTGTCTCAGTCTGCTTTACACCATTACTTTTTAACATTACTTTATACTGTGGGTTGATTTTTAGGGTGTGAGACATATAAATGGAACAGAAGCATATAAAGTCTTATATACTTGTTGAATAATTATCTGATGAAATATGTAATACATAAAACCCCCACAAATTATATGGAGGCATGAAGCCCTTTATAAAGTTTTGTTCCCATCTCCGTAGTTCCTTCAAATTCATTGCATACCCTGAAATAGATTAAATAGGAGGGGTATCTGTGTGCATTGATACTTTTGCTAGTTCTCACCTATTTGAAGACTATTCTTTCCTTACCTACAGGCTCCATATATGTTACAGTAATTGAGAAATTATCTTTGTTTTTACATACCAAGATTCAGTTTGCAGAAAAGAGTTTGTGTGCTGTACTATGGGTAGATATTCCGCTACTTTACTTGTATCAGTATCAGAGTTGCATAATTAAATCCCCATGCCTCATTTAGAAAACTTTCCACTGCCCTTTTGTAGCATTTTGCCTCCCAAACTAGGGTTCTTAAACAATTGAAAAAAGTTTCTTAAAAAATAAAAAGATTCACAAATTTCATGTCATTTTACTTTTGGCCTTGTCTTCTTGTGTGCTGTGAAAACCAGGTCTTGATCATTTACCATTAAGGATCCCAGGGGACTTTTTGCTGGATCATTAGCTCTGATGTCCTGGACAGATTCCAATGTGGATAATTGCATTCTGCTCCCATCTTTGTCAGTTCTCCCTGAAGTTCCAGTTGGTTTTGGTATTCATGTTCACATCTGCCCTAAGCTGCAGAGTCCATTTATAACATGCTGCTTATTCAATTCCTCCTCTTCATTCTAGAGGTGTTTTATTTACTAATAGTGAAACAAACCATGCCTTCCTCTCTTTGTTATATTTTGCAGTGTGTGTCAGGTAGTTTAATGTGAATCACATGTTATCTTGAATTATTACATTTGAAGAAAAAAAGCATTTTTGGTTTCAAATGAATATTATATAAGAAATGCAAGTATATACTTATGATTTTTCTTTTATATTTTTTAAACTTGATTTTTCAGTCATCTAAAAATTTCTTGCTTTTCTTGAAGACACAGTCCTCATAGATACTATACTTTTCTATACCAGAGATTTTCTGTACATTGCTAAGAGTATAGATGTCTGAATTTCTAATATTTCCATTCATTCATGCTTGCAATGTCCACACTGTTAAGGTCCAGATATATGGGCAGCTGTAAAAAGGCAGATAATTTGGTTAAATCATCTTTTTGCCAGGTGTGGAAGGGCATATCTCAGCATTCTTAGTATTAGCTGGTTTGACCTTTGTGAGGAGTTGAATACGATTGCTCTGGGAGAGCGTGTCCCTCCTTCCCTAACCCTAGTAAGAGACATACCTCCCTTAAGATTTCTCTGTAGTCACTGCTCGTTCAGCACATTGCAGAGTCATCCCAGATATGGCTTGTAGGTAGCATGTCAGCATTGGTGACTGACCATTGGAATGGGAGCAGGTCTTGGAAAGTGTTACTTTACACTGAAATGAAAACACTAGAGAGAAGATACGCAGCATGAAAAGGGGTACATTTGCCTTACCACAGTGTACTGGTAGGATTGAATCGTTCAGCTAAGCAGAGTGACCCTCAGCGACTCCAGAGAAAATCTAAACAGAACTGAAGAGTTTGCAAATAAGTATACCCATACCAGACTAGAATGAAATTGTAGGTGGTTCCACTGGAAGACTCCTGGCTGGTAGCTAACCATTGGCACTTGCCAATTTAGTAAGCCAGCATTTAGTGCTCTCACAATAGTAATTCACAGGAGACTGTTAAAGCAGCTCACTTGTGTGTGAAATGGAAACTCTGATAACCAATCTGCAACTGATAAAATACCTTCAAGCAGAGGGATGGCAGATCGGAGAGACTATGGGAGCCCAAGTATATACACCAGACTCCTGTTGAATAAACCCGGTGACCTCTACTTTAATTGAATCATCTTTTTAAGTAAGTGACTAAGGAGTTAGCTTTACAGGTGAACATAGATCTTGAATTGTCCTTCCAGGAGACCCATAAGTTTGGATCTAAAGTACATGAAAGAACCTTTCTTGGTAAAAGGTTATTTCAATTCCCTTAAGGATACATATTTATAATAAAATAACAATTCACTAGTATGCAGAGATAAAATTGATTCATAGTGCATAATAAATCTCTGTCTTTTGTTGTAGACTGGTGCTTGAATCTGTTCACATTCTCATTCTCCATTTAGATCTAATTTATATTGTACTATCTGGCAGGAGAAAGAAAATGTGAAGCGGGTAATCAGGTGGTGAACCTACTAGGGCAGCAGCAGAGTTTCACTTTCCATGTTATCAGATGCATGATGCATGCATAATCACTTCAGTAGAAAATGAGGCACTGTGTATTTTTCTGCTTCAGGATTTCTATCTGTAAAACATAAATAGTGGTGCTTTATAATAAAGTGATATTTACTTAATATTCTTCCATATTCATTGTTTACCAGCTGTTGGAATCTGAAACTTAGCTATCAGCAGGAGAACTGAGAGGATTAAACAAAAGCCATGGTCAATGGGAGCTGAGGGAAGGTCTTTGCTTTGAGAGACAAGTGCCTCCTCAAAAGACCTGTTAACATTTAGCTATGAGGATTGTCCTGTCTCCTTCAGCGAGATATGGAAAGACTTTTTGGTGATGTTGTCAGATGTGTAGAAAGCCCTTTGTTCTCTCCCCGCCATGTGATTCCTCACTACAGGAAAATATTAACCATTTTGTGTAACTGTAATCGAGAATTGTGTAATCCCCTAGTTAGCATAATCCGTCCCCTGCTTAGCATAACTCGTCCTCCTCATTAACAGGTCCCGCCCGCCGGTCCCTTGTATTGTGAATTGCGTATTCAATAAAAGATTCTGGTTTGCACCCCAAAACTGGCATCGATTAGTTTTGGACCTTCACAACCAGCTGCAGTGTACAAAACTCCTTTTGTCTCTAAAATACTTTTCTGTTCCATCTGCTAGCATAAAGTGTTTCTGACACATCTGTGGAGAATACAGAACAAAATAAGTACTGCTGCATAAAGTTTCAAGCACGTTTTTAGTGTGGCTAATGTTACAAACCCAGATGCCTGATTTTTTGTGTCTTACATCTGCTTACACATCTGCTTTATTTATCAGCTTTTGAACTTTAACTCGCCATCATATTCACATGGTTTGGCAGTAGCAATGATAAACTGCTGTGTGTTGATAGGTAACTGTCACAAAAAATGAGAAATGTCTGTCCTCTGTCAAAATTGCCCTCTGTCAAGATTAATTTTGGGACTGGAAATGTCTGGACTGTATGGCTGCTATTGGACATTTTCAAAATGTTGGTGTTCTGTTTATGACATGGTATACTTTTTTCCTTTTTCCTCAAGATATTGAACGGTTAAGTGAAGAGATGAAAGATGGCCTCAGGCACCTTGCAGAGACATTGCGACTGTATTTGAAAACTGAGATCCAGGATGAGTCTCAGTTGCCACCTGCAATTGACTTTTTTCAGATCTTCACAAAAGTAAGTGTTAAAATCAGGTTGCTTGACAACTCATAAATTATGCTTTCCTCGTGTTCTTGATTTATTTTCGAGTGGGAGTTTAGTAGATACATCCAGAATGTGATAGATGACAAAGTGAAATCAAACTATTTTTTTATTCAGTTAGTATTTAAGCAAAAGTATAACTTTATATAATTGTAACACTTCAAAATTAAAGCAATAGCCAGAGGATATTATTTCTTTTCCTTTTTCAAAATTACTGTGTTAAAGCTCTTGGGGGAAAAAAAGAAAGGTTGCATAAAAACCCAAGCAAGTTTAAATAAAACTGAGTCAATCAACCAAAGTAATTTTTTCACAGTAATAAAGAGTATATAACATCACTCTTCAGCCTGGAATTTTTCTGCAAGGTGAAATATCTTGTATTTGCAGATATACTTCCATCCTATTTTGTCATTTAGCAGTATATGCTAACAGGTGTTTTTGACAGGTTTTGTATCCCACAAACTGCTTTCTGCAGGGATGTTGTGGATTATCTATTTTAGAAGACTGCATGTAAAGTATTTGAAATTTACATTTGAAAATGTAGAATGTTATGTTGCAAAATAAATATTGTTGCGTTTTCTGTATGTATTTTATTGCTTTCAATTCAGAATGCTAAATCTGAGCAATGCCCCCGAAATACTTTTTATGGAGAATACTCAGTTTTAACTCCATTTAATTTTTTCATTTCTAATGGGTTGATAAATTCTACCATAGGATTTAAGTTATGCATGTTATACTTGCTTTAATAAGTGTTTTTTTTAATTAAATAAGCCAGACTATTACATTTTTTCTTCTGACATAAATAATAGAAAAAAGCTCTTTCAAAAAAATGAAATAGAAGTGCTATATATTTTTACATGTTTAAAAACCTTTTTGCACAGTTATGGGATATGTTTTTTTTGTGTGTGGGTTGTTTTTTTTTTGCTATAGACAGAAAAAGTAAGAAAAATATAATCAACGGTGGGGTTTTTTGGATATTTTATTTTTTTATTGGTGATTAGTCTGCTGTAATGTAAAGTTGCAAGCTTACCTGAAAAACCACACAGTCTGAGAAGCATTCAAAAAGACTCATAAATAAAAACTTTATGTACTGCTTAGCTCCCCTCCAACTGTTTTACGGTCTTATGTTGGTAGAAGGATCTGACTGAACAGGTGAGTTGGTTGGGAGAAAGGAGCAGTTGACAATATATACCCATGTGGGAGAAATTAGTATCTCATTCAGAGTTCAGACAAGCACAGTGCTTTTTGGAAGATTTTGTTGCCACTCTAATTTTCCATGTGGCATTTTACAGCCTTCCCAATTTGGTTGCTAGATGAGTGTTCTATGAAGTGTGATATTATATTAAAACACGAATTTAATTTCCCCCTATCCCTAGTGAGGGAGGAGTGGGCATTTTCTGACATTCTCATAGGATGTTTTTTTTTCTTAAGCTGAATAAAGATGCTTATTCTCAGCAGGTAAAATTTAAGGCTTTGGAACTGTAAAATCTCTGATAAGACTTTTGTGGTCTCTTCTCTCTAGTATAACTAAAAAAGACCAGCTGTGATGACTTCTCTGTGTGGTCATAGAATAAAGAAATACTACAGATACATGACTTCAAGATGTAATCTTGTTTTCTCAACCTCTTCCAACATTCCTTTCAAGTTCAGTAGGTGCTTATTCGAACATTGAACTTTTTTGGATCAGTTCTTTCATTGCATTCCACAAAAAGATCCAGTCAAAGGTCATTTTTTTTTAAATTCTGTTTGATGCTGAATCCTCAAGAAGGAAAATAAGCAGACTGCCAGACAAAAGAGAAAAATGGTCCTGCAGTGAGATGACTAAATTCCAGATACTTCTTGGAAAATCTCCAACCTAATTTAGGTCAAAAGAGCTTCTCGGAAGCTCTTTTAAACAGTCTTCCTTCCCTACTGGCCACTGCTCTTGTCTTTGTGAGAATTAATTATAGTTTTATTCACTTGCTTATGATGTTTAGTAGGCAGAGAGCCCCCCTGAGTACAAACTTGTAGAAACTGCCCACTGAAAATCAAAGAAAATTTGGCCATTTCTTTCCATGGGAAAAGAATTTCACCCAGGGTTTTTTTAGTTTGCATGAGACCTTTTTTTGGGGGGGGGAGGGGGGGGGAGAAGAAAGCTGTACTCGATGGGGAGGTGTTTCGGAAGGGTAACGTACCTTTCTTTCTGACAGTGTTGCCCTGTCTTTACTTGACAATTTGCTTTTGTATCAACTGTCCTTTGAGCTGGAGTTGGATTTTCTCATTCTTGTTATCTGATCACTTTTCGGAAGCTTCAGTTTATTTAACATGCCATTTATCAAGGCTGTGACTGTTTTAAAATTCTGATCCTCAGTATTAAACAGAATTATCTGCAGCTAATTACGTGTTAAAGCTTTAACTCCACTGAGACATTTTCTAATGTCAAGATAAATTTTTGACAGCATGGTTTTGTGGTTTAATGATGTTTCCATAACCTTGAGATAAAATCAGTCCTTGCTTTTTATCCTTCAGCTTTTACTTACATGTGTGAGGAGGTGGCCTGGAATCCTTTGAGACATTTAATGGATGCAGGATAAAGAATTCAATTTTTTGTATACAAAAAATGGTTCTTTTCATAATAGCAGACAGAACCATGTGAACTACTTTAAGACATTGAATAAATTCTGTACCTACCATGTTGACTGCAAAACTGTGAGTGACTCTACTGACTGGAATCAGACCTAAGATGATGGCTTTTTAAACAAAATGTAGACATAGAATTACAACTACTTATACTGCGTCAGAATTAACTTTTTGAGCATTTTGAAATATATTGAAAATTTGTTTTCCAACAAGTGAGAAAAAAGAAGAGATTCTGATGTTTGATAGAATCATAGCCATTTTAAAGACCTCCTAATTTCAGGGCCTCACATTTATAAGAATAGTAACCTCTGCCATTAAATAATAGTAAGATAAAATCCAGTGGCAGTTAATGAACTGTTACACAGCAGACTTCTAGAGCAGTTTAGTAATCTTAAAGCAGATTTTTTTCTTAAAGAAAAGTTTTCTAAAGGATGTTTCTATTTTTGTGGATAAAATTTTGGAGAAAGGATGCTGGATTAAGTAGTCTAGGAAACCCCATAGAGCAGAGATGAGACTTAAGTCCTGAAATAGCAGTCTTCCTAATTTTTCTGTTGTGCAAAATTTCACCTTTCGAACAGTATCTTAGCTGCACAAGGGGTGATAGGGACTAGAAAGAGAATTTTTAGCTTTCTGAAATTTATAGTCTTTCCTACATTTTCAATCTTGACACTTTTTTTTATGAACAGATTCTACTTTGAAAGTAGGTGTGCTGCTTTCATTCAGTTCCCAGGAGAGGTCACACACCTATATATGTGTGAGTTGAATAGTCCTCTTTGTGCAGGTGCTGGATGTGCTGCTCACCACCCTCTTCTCAGGTGCTATCCTACTCTTTCCTTTTCAGGTCAATTTAGAATTGACACAGATCAAAGACAGAGTAAAAACAGGTCTAAAGAAGTGTAGAGCTGTTAAGTCTGTGATAGCATGAAAAAGAAAGTGCCCATATACATTAGAAACAAATGTGCAACTTTTATATAAGTTGAACTAATTTTTTTCCGTCTTATTTTCTTGAGGTTTGTGAAGTTGACATTAAAGTGAAGAAAAGATATAAGTTTGATGCTGTATGCTAGTCTCTATGTGCCCATGAACAGTTTTAACCAAAAGACCAGTTGTCTGTTTAGGCCATTGGTGTAATTGATTTTATTTTTAACTTAAGAAGAAGTAAGGGGGCTCTGTGAGCTGCAGAGGTACGTCCCTCAAGAGACAAAGTGCCCTGGTCTCATTAAAATCCTTTGTTTATTCCTCCTGCCAAAGTTTAGATATATTTTCTTTGTTCTTCTAAGTTTTTGGTACTCACTGTTTATTCCACTCCATGCTTTGAAAGAGTTTCTTTTCAACATAAAAGGTATTAGTACCAATTACAAAGAAATTTTAGTGTTAAAAAATTTTGGTACGTATCTGCGTAGGCAGAAGTGAACTAGAAGTTGAGCAGTGCCACTTGGCCTTTGTAAAGTCTGAATGCTAAATTATGGTAATTTTTTTGGGTGTCTTTTTAAGTGCACGTTGAAGGAAAGTCTTACTTAATGATATAACTGGATAAAGTATGGTTGATCTTCACGTTGATCCCTCAGATCTTTTAGGCTTCAGATAACGTGCATTCTCTGGGAAGACCTTGGAATAAAAGATACATCTGCCTGGTCTTCAGTAATTTTTTCAGTAACTTACTCTTTCTTAGGATTCACTGGTTAATTTAGTAATCCATGCTAGCAGGGAAATTAAAAGTGATTTGTGTCAAGAAAGTAAAAAAAAAAATTAGGATAAAGTTAAGAGTAAAGTTATGAGCAGGTTAAGAATTTTTAAATACACACAAGTGAAGGTTGCTTTCTGATGCCAGGTCTCCTAATCTAATTAACCCTGGATGCAGTTGTTGAGTTTCCCTTCAATTAGAAGGCCATGAAGTTCTTTTCCTGGAAATGACAAAAGCAAGCGCATGTTTAATCTGTCATTGTTCTTTGTGCAATTCAAAGCTAATGTACCTTGTTGCCCTGCTTATGCAAATTTGTGTATAATTCATGGTAAATTGAAGACCAAGCCAGTACTGATATATTTTTTTAAGTTGTGGCCCAGGAAACTGTTTTGCACGAATGGATAAGCCCTTGTGCTCAATGTACAGTTATGTTTGTCAATCTTCTTGACTCTTTTTTTTTTCTTTTTGAAAGTTGTAGGACTATGTTTCTCCTCATCAGACTATATCAGAACCTTTTTCTCTGACTATTGCCATCGTTAAGTCTATTGCTTGAGATTTGTGATTGTCTTTTTACCTAAAGTGCCTTTGATTTAATATTTCTATTGATAGAGTTTTGGCTGGTGGGAATATGGACATGGTATGTCCTGTCTCCTGTACTCTGTGGGTGTTGTTTTAG